TGATGATTGCCTGCCTGTTAGTATTGAAATGAAGAGTTGTTTTTATTTCATGGCAAGTCCAACGATCGAAAGATTTTGGTTTCGTCGCGCTGTTTGATATAGCGTGCCGGTATTCGTTTTTGCGCGATTCGCTGTCTGTTACATTGGGGACGGAAGCGAACTTTAAGTGCCGGCGTGTTGTGTGTGCCTGAGTGCCCGTCCGTGTTGTGAGCTGTGGTGCTCCGGACCAGTTCGTGGACCGTGCTCCGTCGGTCACGAGCTTCCCAGTGAATGGACGTTCACCGCTGACCTGCTTGGTTTGATGCCATCATCATCATCGAGGGTGCTCGCCATCATCGGTGACACTCAGCGGAACGAGTTCCCTGCCTGAGGTCCTGGGGACCACGCAACCCTCGGCCCCCCCTGAGTCCGAGCCTTGAGGGGAGGGAGGTGTGGAGATCTGGCTGCCCTCCTCCGCGCCGAACCTCCGGACCCCAATTTTCGGCAACTCGCACTCGATGCCTCCGACATGCGTCATGCCTCGGGGGACCGGCCATGGCCTCGCGCCGCACAAGGTCCGGCTGGACCACTCCCCTAAGCCGTCTGACATCACGGGACTGGGTTCCCAGAAGAAAGGACCCAAGGCATGAAAAGGGGAAGCCGGACAAAAGAAGGCCTCTCTTGGACGGAGCGCTCTCGAACGGCGGGGCACGGAGACAGGTGCAGCGGTGACAGGAGACGGAGACGCTGGCGCGGGATTTGGCGGGAGGCGGACGCAGGCGCTGGGAGAGTGCGGGCACTACGTCGAGTGGCGGACTCGACAAAGGGACCGGACAGCGACCCTGGACGACGACGTCCCCATGACGCGGTGTGGACGACCACCGCTGGGACTCGGAGAAGCTGCTGTGGCAGCGGACTCTCCCCCGGCCTCGCTGATGACCGTCCCCCGATCCCAAACCCCCCCCCTCCCAAGGCAATGAGTGAGTGAATAAACCCTTTTGCCGAGAGCGAAATATTCAAGTCTCATATTCACCCGGAGCCAGGGTCTGTGGCAATCGGAGCTAGAAGATGCCCGCAGACTAAAAGACAGGATTACAGGCGGCCCTCGCTGCCGCTTAAGCTCATTCAACTCAACAACATTTATTACATGTGCGCGACGTGCTCGAGAAACAAAACCGAAAGTCGGGAAGGCGAACGTTTTCTCCCGTCTGCCTTCAGAAGAAAAAAAAAAAAGTCTCGTTCCTCCCTCCTCCGACGCACCTCCCTTGGGGGTGCGTCGGTAGAAGGGACGAAGACGCGCCGTTGCTACCTTTTTTCTGCATTTTTTCTTAGAGTACGGGCTGAGCGTGGCATGCAGCTCGGGGGAATACGCTACGTATACGATACTTTCGCATTTCGACACGGTACCAGTCTTAAGTGTCTTTTTCATTTATCTTATTTGTCTACAAAGTACTGCATAACATTTAGATAAGTGAGTTCTAAAAGGAAGCATGAAAGTGACCGATATAACCACATAAAATAATTAACTCATTTCATATGCTTAAGCTAAAGTCAAGCACGTTGACATTAGAACCCAAAGTTTTCGTTCTGGAAGAGGTTCAGAGGAAATAGTGTTGGAGGCCTATTGTATGTTAAAGGAGTAAAATCATCAGCCACTTTTACTTCCGGGGCTATATAGACTATATAATGTCCTCTTAAAGCAAGGACCGTTTAGTGTTCTGGGGACGAAATTAAACATTGTTATCCGGGTGAGAGGGGGGCATATATGAATATACATTTCATTATTTTCCCGCTAAATTTAACAGAAAGATCGACGCCACAGTTAGAAGTCATGGTAACAGGTGATGCCATGACGACACGTGACGTCAAGCTTGTGCAATAAAATTTAGTGGGACAATGAATATCAGATGATCTGACACTATTCGATGTGGCCAAATTCGGTGACATCGCGATGTTAAGTGCTCATGTCGAGTGATAGCTTAATGGTACGCGAATTTTATTTACCCTCCACATTATGTTATGAAATTTACGGACGTACGACGAACGGGAGGACAGGCCTCAGGAATTTGGGGGAAAACGTGGGGGTCAGATCTAGAGCTCGAGTCATTGAGACCAGGTAGACGGGAAAATGCGACAGGGAATTGAGAGAAGAAATAAAGGGAAAGAAATTTCAGCCGACCTGAAGATCCCTTATCAAGGAAAAGGGAATTTTACTTCTTTTTTTTTTCTATGTTCTCATTCTGCCTGTCATTTCTACTCCCCAGGGTGGAAAATGAAAATCAAGACTTAAATCACAATTTAAACCATCTTGATTTTTGTTCTCCACCCTGGGGAGCTGAGATTAGAGGGTAGATGAAAACAAAGGGGAACACCGGCTTTCCTACGATGTTTTAAATCAAAATTTTGACGCAAATATAATCCGAATTTGTTTTTGTTTTACATTTGTCTATTGCTTGATGCATACTTTGTGCATTTGTGTTGTATTTAAATCAAATAATCATCAACTAAAAAGGATATATAGAAGGCTGAATACGATCAGAACGTGGGGCTGGCAAATCAGAGCGTTGAGTTTTTTTTATATTGCTAACGAGCATGTTGGTAAAATTTACTAGATAACAGAAAGTATAAAACATAGAGAGGACGAAACACAGACGAGTACATTCTTTCAACTTACAACAAAGTTTATCCCATGGGGTGCGAACGCATGTACCCCTGCGCAGACTTAGAGAAAGGGGGAAAGGGCGGAGGCAGAGGGGGGAAGTAAGAGGAAGGAAGGGAGGGGTGACGGAGGCGGCTGGGCGCGTCGACCCGTTGGGGTCGCGCGCCAAGAGAGGGCCCTCTCTGATAGAGAGATAGATTATCTGAGCCAAGAGGCTGTCCGGGGTGATTAGACGACATCGGTGAGTGGCCCGACCCCAACGGGTCGACGCGCCCAGCCGCCTCCGTCACCCCTCCCTTCCTTCCTCTTACTTCCCCCCTCTGCCTCTGCCCTTTCCCCCTTTCTCTAAGTCTGCGCAGGGGTACATGCGTTCGCACCCCATGGGATAAACTTTGTTGTAAGTTGAAAGAATGTACTCGTATGTGTTTCGTCCTCTCTGTTTTATTCTTTCTGTTATCTAGTTTTCTTTCTATTCGAGGCGAGAAGTCTTGGTATGGCCGTCTGGTTAACTTTTTTTCCAAACCAGAGTGAGGATACTTCAACTTCCTCTGCTGGTGCAAGCGCGTGCAATGTCAAGCTTCTATGAACTATGAAAATTAAAACATGACCACGTGTGTAGCACGTGCACTACCCATAGTGAGGAAAACAGAAGCGCACCTAGCGAGCTTTTCACCGCGAATACTTTCCACTTCGTTGGTAAGTCACACAATGGCCTATGAAAGAAAATCAGAACACGAAAAAAAAAATCAAGAAAAGTAATTTTCTTCCGCAAGCAGTTGCAGCGCGAGAGATAAAGCAAATACAAAGTTTTATTACATAAATAATCACTCGCCTTTGTTCTAGGAAAGTAGGGCTTACATTACTAGTTTTCGTTTATTAAATTGTACTTCAAAAGTTAAAATTTTTCAAGATTCACACTTCTGGAGAACTAAAAAGGCGAAAAAGAATTACTTCAGAAGTGATTTTTTAATCCGTAGTTTTTTCAGTCCTCGGACATATTGATCAATCAATGTCATTTCAAAAAGCATAGTGTGATAAAAAAAAAAAAAGCTTTTCTCAAGGTATGGCGATTTAAATCGAACGTAAAGGGGCGTTGCAAAGATTTTTGTGCTTTGCGCAAATACTGCTTAGAACAATTCCCTGACGTTAATGACCTATAAAACGCTCGTTCGTTTTTAACCACACGCAATCGAAGTAGCAGAAAAATTAAAGAAAAACGAGCAGCGTTCGCGCCCTTAACCCGCAGCCAGAAAAAGCGACCACGTGATCTGGAGCCGAATATTTGCCGTCTACGTTGATCATGCCATGTGCTGGGGTGGGCAAGGCACAAGAGACACGTTGAGTTCGAGGCGTTGTTGTGGTTCGGCTATTGTCAATGCAGCGACTGGACGCGGACAATGACAGGTGCTACTATACTCAAATGCTTGTCGAGCTATTGATCATGACGAACCCAAATCGAGCGCTCACGCAATGCTCGGGTTCAATCTATGAGCCGCCTTCAAATACCAATTCTGGAGATACTGCGACCTTTAAGCTATGTCATGAAGTTTTGCTAAGGAGAGATTGAAAGAAAGCGCTCGCTTCTGTCCTCTAAATTCCACCGCAACAAAGAAGTATCTTGGTCGGGGGCGTTGCCTGCGAGTATCCTCGACTCCCACTCTTGCCTGTAAGATAGTCTTAAGTGAAAACATTCCAAGCGAAAATCGTTGCACCGCCCCTCTAATTTGATTTAAATTAAACTAATTTGTATTTAACCAAATATACCTGAACCGTTTATTTAAAAAAAACACGATTTTTTTCCTATATTTTTGTTCTCGTAAGAAGGGTTCGCAGCTACTCTCTAGAAAAGAAATAAAAAAAACAGGCTCTCTTTTTGGTAGAAGTAAAAAATCGAGAAGAGTTACCTTATTCTTGTTCGTACGTCTACCTTTGGCCTGCGCTCTGTTAAATCTGGAGCGCAAACTTTCGCGCAAAGCACTCGCGTGAGCCCTTTGCTGCAAGCTGCAGGGAGAGCTCGGCGAATGTCGAGCCTTAAAACTTTCTAAGACCTAGAAGGACAGTGTTCGCTGTGACACCAAATGTAACGTTTAACAACGCTCAGAGATACGGTGAATTCTTTGTAAATTTTTGGCACCATGCTGGTGGAAGAAAACTAGTGTGCCACGGTAATTTTCATTTGGTTTTGCTGTCTGTGAGTGTTTTTTTTTCTTTCTGCCTTATGCAAACTGATTTGTTTAGAGACTATTAAATCGAAACTTAAATGTACCTTCTCCGCTGTCTTGCGTAGCATTACCGATATCGTACAGTTTTAGTAATGAAGTTTAGCAATATTTTTTGAAACTTGAAACGACGTCCTGCTTACCATTCAAAAATGCATGCGAAAGTAAGGAATCAGTGTTGGCTTCTGGTTGAGTCGGCAAGTATTTTGCAAGTATCAAACTATATACAATCAAGGCGAGTAGACCCACGTAGATAATCTGGAAGAAAAAAAAAAGAAAAGTGAGTATATACATATCCCATAAAGCTTAATCGTGATCACGTCATGTCACCCGGGCCGAAAACTATACCTGTCAGACGGGATGCGTAAGCACTTTTTGGATAGAAAGAACAATCTCCAAAAAGGAGAAGGACTTAGTGCTACACGACACCACTAGTGAAAAAGCAATTTGTATGCAAAAACTCTTGTGTCCAATAAACACATATGAATCACACAATATATATAAAACATAAAAGAACTACAAAAAGCTATATAAGAAATATATAATATATATAAGAACATATAGGAACCATATGAAAAACTCATAAGAAACCTCTGACAAGTTTCTTATATGCTTCTTAAATGTTTTGATTTAGTTCTTATATGGTTCTTATATGTTATTATATGTCTTGTATGATTCATATTTGTATATTGGACAAATATTTATCATACAAACCAGATTTTTAAATAGGGACCCTTAATTAAATTAAATGAATTAAATTGGGACCCTAATTAAATTCAACTAAAGCGTTGTTTTCGAGGAAGGAGCTCACTAGCGTCCCTTAGTACAAAGAAAGTACAAGAGAACCGTGTTTTCGGCCTGGACAAATAAACTACGCATCCTAGAATGCTCAAACTTCTTGAGAATGTGACGCTAGCGTTTGCGATAGAACGCGAAAGTTTGAGAAGGCGACGCTACCTGGATAAAAATATAATCGAAGGAAACAAAATTTTACCATGAGCTGACGTCCTATGTGGACGCCAGCTCGTGGAGAAATTTCGTTTCCTTTGTAGGTTGTATTCAATGAATGTGCATATTCGATTTTGCCAGGGAGAGCTACCGTCCCGCCGCCATCTTGCAGTTGTCGCGTGCTGCGTGTTTCTGATTCGGCGGCTTTGGCACGCTCGCCAAAAACCCTTTAAGCTTTGAAAATGCGGCTAAACCACGCCGGAAGAAACGGTCAGACGAGAGGCGACACGCAATGCGGCCTGCGCGGGATGAGAAAGAAACCCCTAAGATGGCGGCCGCGGCTCAGCCCACCTAACGAGTGACGTCACGTGAATAGCACCTATTTGCCTAAGATCGTCGAAGCAAGAAGAAATATATTGTCAACTTAGAGGAAGTAGGCAAGCGAGCTGGTTAAGGATCGATATAGTAACCTTGAAGCCAGGGAAAAAAAAAGGGGACGGACAGACAGGAGACTCCGAACACACCTAAAGATTTCGTTTGTCTGGATCATCAGTATAGAAGCTTATGTGGTTCTACTAAAAATAAAACTTTTATTTAACTACTCGGCAAATACAAAAGAGTTTACACAAGGAATGCTGTTGCGTTCATGTCTGCCGCCAGTCCCGAGCCGTCTTTCTTCTCGGCAATGGCCAGACGGATAGGCAGTAAACAATTCGGAGGAACCCGAGTTGTTTAGTGGAACGCGCCTCCGGGTACGCCCAACGAGCGTTGCGCGGTATCCCGAGAGCGCGCGGGGGGTTTCTTCTCGGCACGGCGGTTGCATCGTGGGGAAAGAACCAGAGGGTACACACTTAAAATTTTTACACCCTTATTCGTGTAAATGGCTCGTCCTCTGGCTAACGCCTTTATTCGTGTAAGGGTGTTAGCCGCCGGAGGTGGTGAAAATCGTGTTAACTGCTAACACCCTAAAAACAATATGGCGGCCAGTATGCGACAGGCGATACGAGCCTGGCGAGCCGTACGCGGCTTCTCGCCGGAGCAAGAGCATACGGCTCGCACGCTCGTTTGGTGTCATCTGTAGGCGCAAAAAACTTTCCAAACATCTCTATGTCCAAGCGCCAACACCGCAAATAATACGAGTAAGGCCGAAACCGCTGGAGACTGAACAGCCGAGACTGTCGCCGAAGTCTCGCTCGGCCTGCTCAATGCCGGTCGCATTTTCATCGCATCAGAAACGCTTATAAAGAAGGGATAGCTTTACAAAACACTGACAGGCTGGCTTTATTGAACAAAACGCCCACTTGCCGTGGACAAGTTGACAACGAATCGCTCCGACACGCTCTGTCGACAGCGGCTAGGAGGTATCGCACTCGCGCTCCGTGTGGCTCTCGATTAACTATTGCCTGTGCTCACCTCTGTTACGTGCGTTATCCACTCATGAACGTTTGTGCGTGAACAGCGGCATTCAGCACCTAGAACACACGCTGGGGAAGCCGCCTAACCTCTTTTTGTTGTAATCAGGCAGCACAACACGGCGACACAGCTACCAGCGGAACCGAACAACCGGAACAATTCGGAGCGATCAACACGACGGATGGACTAATGGCATCCAGCCCTCTAATAGTTATAGATCACCAACCGCCACACTTTTCAAATTGGGCGGCGACAACCCCCATCTAGCGGCGAAAAAAAAAGTGATAAACATTTGAAAAAAGAGAGCTGTAGTTTTTTTGGCTGCCCACCGCGCGGTTACATTCACTCACGACATCGACATACACACAACACTGTACATACACACGGTCATACAAGCACTGATCAATTGCACAACACACAACAAATAGTACATACAACCTACTTATACAAACCAACAAGTGCCCCGAGCGGTATATATGCCCTCCTATTTTGCACATCGGTTAGCCCAGTGACCACGCTAGTCTTAATCAAGATATGAAAATATTACGCCAATTTTATTTTTCAATAATATTTTTTCTGCATTTGTCTTAGGTAGGTACACATATCTCTTAATAGCTTTTTACAGCATAATGTATTATAATGATACGTGCCTAACTTCTAGTAACTCAACGTGAGTGACGAGAAAAAAAAATCGTGTGAATTCTGTCTGGCAACCACACTCGCGGCGTGGTTGCTATGGCGACGCTGTCGGTACGCGCGCCGGCAGCCGTCCAGCTGGTTCGGCCGTTCGGCTGGTTCGGCGTGGCTACGGCCGAGTGCGCGAGTCCACGGTGAACGCCGCGAACGCAATCGAGAAAACGAAGCGTCGACTACTGAAGCTGTACGTAATCGAGTTTCCGCCCGTTCGCTGCCGAATTCTTCGTAGTCTTCTTCCGCCCGTTCGAAAGGGAACAGCCTACCAGTACGATTACCGCCGTGGCTTCAGTGGCTTCATCTTCGGAGGGAACTGTCAACTGAATTAGTTCCAAAACGCGGGTGCATCAGGCAGCGCAACGTGGCGCGGTCCACGCACAAAGTCGGTAAGTAAACAAAACACTCAATGCCGTTCAATTCTTTTTTTTTTTTTTTATTATTATTTACGGGGTGCGCGCGGTGTTTCTGGGTGGCTCAAGGTATGGGAAAGCAACCGGAAAAATCGGCGCCTGATCGACCATGGGGTGAAAATTTCAAGGCGTATCGTACGCAAACGACAGCGTTTGCCAGCGGAAGGCTCGGTCGTCCGTGGCGAACGCATTTTTAGTATTTTTAAGGATGTTCTAGCTGCAAAAAAAAGGAGCGCCTTAAAATTTCACTAGGTAAAATACACTGCTGAGGAAACGACGCCCCTTTGCGTGCAGGCGCCGATTTTTCCGGCAGAGTTTAGCGCGCTGTGAAATGCAGTGTGCATTTAGGGAGAGTTTTGGCATAATATAATGTTGCTCATTGGAAATAAATAAAAAAAAAAGAAATGCTGGCATCATGTTTACACACTCTTAGTCATTTTTGGAATCTTAAGTACCCTTTTTGTGGCAAGTATTGGACGCCAGCACATTTTACGTAGGAACGAAGAGTGGAATCCGGCCAATTCCCTTCCACATTAACATCAAATGAGTGCTGTGAAAGCAAAGAAGAAAGTGAGGGTGAAACAGTTCCTGCAGAGTGCCAGAAAGAAGAAAAGTGCCCCGAAGTGGAAAATATACTCTTTTGAAAAGGATCCAAAAGAAATAGAGGTTATCAGGTATACCGCCGAGCGTCACAGACCTGGACACTCCATTTCAGTTTTTTAAATGCCCATGCCCTGATGAGCTGTTTACAGCGATATTTGAGGGGACCATCCTGTATTGAACTCAATGCCACCATGAACACCACTTTCGGGTTCTGGTCACACCTCCACGCAGGATGTCCTGCTTCAGATCAAGGAGGATATCCTTGACAGAATCTCCTTTACGACAACGCGGGCAGTCCTGGCCCTGGATATAAAGGGCGCCTTTGACAACGTCAGTCACACGCTGGTGTTCGAGAACTTGGCCTCAACTGGGTGCGGGCCCCGGATGTATGATTATGTGCGGGACTTCCTGAGCAACTGGATGGCCACCATCGGAATTGAGTCCATCCGCACAAGCACCATCCCAATACCGAGCAAGGGCAACCGGCAAGGCTCGGTCCTGTCACCCACCTTGTTACCTGGCGATGTGCAAGCCGCCTCCTCTACTGGAACGGATTCCCCGGGTGAAGCATACACTCTATGCCACTCTATGTGGACGACCTGACGATTTGGGCTACGTCGGGATCGGACAGCGGGAGGCAAGACTTCCTCGAAGAAGTCATTGAGACGGTGCAGAACTACTTCGAGGCCGGCAGCCTCCAGCGCGCCCCCGATAAGTTTCAGCGGTTGCTCCTCCGCGCGGGCAAGCCAATTCCCGGAGAAGAAGAAGGCGGACATCCGCCTCATGTTAAAGGATGGTACCCCCGTGCCGGTGGTGAAGCGGGTTCGGATCCTGGGGCCTTCCCCTCCAGCGGGACGGCGGAGCCAAGTACACGGTCGACCGACTCGTCAAGACAACCACGCAAGTCATGTGCATGGTGAGAAGGATAACGAGTCACAGACACGGGCTCGAGGAGTCGGACCCGATCCGGCTGACCCAACCACTCGTCGTGAGCCACATCGCCTGCGCAAATCCGTATCTCAACCTGACCTGCTGTCGAGAGGTAAGGGCAAGATGGACGTGATTATTCGCAAGGGGTACTAGCTGGCACTGGGGGTGCCGCCGTACGCGTCGAACGCCAAGCTCCGGCTGCTAAGTGTAAACAACACCTTCCAGGAACTCATCAACATGCACCTAGCCAGTCAGTGGGAG